TTTCGATTATTATCACTGTGTTTAGTTCTTCAAATGTCAATGAGGCTGTGTTGGTGGTTGTTATCAACAGTTTTTTTTGCTGATTTTACCGCCGCTTCCCAGAGGCCGCCAAACGATGGAGCCCTGGGAGGAATGAATTTAAAATCCACTTGCTTTTTGTTGCAATGATTCGTGATCAGAGCACTTGCCTTTGAGCTGAATATAGAGTCTTCTAATTCTTTAAGCTGGTTGTTTGCACCCACAAAGTTCGTTGCATTGTCGCAATGAATAGTTTGGCACTTCCCACGTCTGCTTAAGAATCGACGCAGGGCGGCCAAGAATGCATCTGTGGTCAGGTCGCTTACCAGCTCCAGGTGCCTTTGTGGAAAAGTAGCAAAACACGGCGATGTACGCCTTATCGGGTCTTTTGCCTCGGATCTTATGGTGGATCGAGATTGGTCCACAGTAGTCGACGCCTACATTAAGAAACGGGCGTGCTTGTGTGACTCGTTGTGCTAGGAGATTGCCCATGATCTGGTGTATCAGCTTTGGTCTAGCCTTGGTGCATCTAACACAGCTGTGGATGATGCTTCTAGCCATTGTCTTGTCATTGATAATCCAATATTGTTGTCTTGCGATTGCCCTTAATGCTTGAGCACCACAATGCGATTCCTCTCGACAGGACATCGGCTGCGTTGTTGGCCGATGACACGTCGTGACGCCATTGTGACTGATTTGTTAATGCCTGGATTTTGGCTATTCGATTTGCCACAAAGGTATGGTATGTTGATGACGATGCGTTTATCCAGGATAAAACAACGGTGGAATCACTCCAAAACCATCCTGAAACCGTTGTAATGTCCATGTGCAGATCCTGTCGGACTCGGTTTGTGAGCTCACTGCAGCACAAAGTTCTAACAGTGGTAGTGATTGTTTGGCTGTCGGCGCCACACGTGATTTCGAACAGAGCAGTCTTACTGACACTTGGTTGTTTTTGTATGTAGCGCGTACATATACTGCTGCGCCATATGCTCGTTCTGATGCATCTACAAACTTATGGAGTTCTTGGGTAACTGGAATTTTACCATCGTAGATATACCGGGGAATTTGCATTTTGTTCAATGTTTGTAAGTCGTCCCGGTATTCTTTCCATTCGGTTTGGTGTTGTAATGGTAATTCGTTATCCCAATCCAGTTTGAGCTCCCAAAGTTGTTGCATGAAGATTTTTGCCTTTACTACCACCGGTGCAAAGAGTCAAAGATTTGGGCCAGTTCGGAACGTACCACCCGTTTGGTGATGCGTGTAGCCTGGCTTTTCTGTGTTCGTCCACACAATGTATCCTTCTTCGGCATCCAGATGAGACCCAGAGTTTTCACGCTGTAGTGCTCTAGTGTCTCTCCTAATTTTACATCGGTTACAATATCCTCTTTGGGGATTCCTTGGAGAAGTTGCTCATTGTTGGAGCACCACTTGCGCAATTTGAATCCGGACGGTAGAAATATCTTATTTAGTTCTTGTCGAGCATGAATTGCCTCTGGAATCGTGTTTGCTCGTTGTTGATCCTACTGGTAGTCTGTCATTGTATTGTATTGCCAAATGATCCAGACATTTCGTTGCTAGGAACGGAGCAGCTGTTGTCCCATATGTTACTGTTTTCAGGCGATAGTACCTGATCTCTTCGGATGGATTGCTTCTCCAGACTATCATCTGATGGAATTGATCCTCCGGATTCATCCACACTTGGCGGTACATCTTTTCTATGTCCGCTGTGAATACGTACTTATGAATTCGAAATCGTAGCAGAATGGACATAAGTTCGCTCTGAACGGTGGGTCCAGCCTGCAGAATGTCGTTCAAAGATTTCCCGCTTGTTGATTTGCATGAGGCATCGAATACTACCCGAAGCTTTGTGGTGGTGCTCTCATGTTTGAGTACACAATGATGTGAAATGAAGTAGTGCCTTTTGGGAACTTTTGATGCTGGCTCAATCTTCATATGTCCTAGTCCTTCATACTCTTCCATGAAGTCCACATAACTCTTCCAAGTTTCTGTTGAGCTTCGCCGCTCCAACGCTAGGAATCTTTTTGTTGCGGTTTCCAACGACTCCCCCAGGGCTGAAGGGTGTTCGGAAAATAGGAGCTTTACAATAAAACGGCCGTCTGAAGCTGTCTGAAGATTTTCTATAAAATGAGCTCACACCGTGCTTCCACTGGAGTGCGTGGTTTGTCTTCCGTCTCTAGATTGTCCAGAGTGCAGAATCTTTCCATGAGCTCGTTTACTCCCGTTGCACAAATGGGTGAGGAATTGTGGGCAGATTTGACTTTTCCTGCCACAATCCATCCCAGCTTAGCTGTTGATCTGGTAGCAGCAGCGAGTAGTAATGCTCGACTCCGATTTACATGTCTGTGGCTGAACAGATATAGTGTTTTTTTTTTTTAAGTTCAGAGGAAAGGTAGCATGAGCCTACAAGAAGAATTTACAATCGTTAATATTTTCCGTCATTTACCTCCAGTATTTGAACTATTTAAATAGAGGGGGCTTAAGAGGGCTAAGTTCGGGTTTTCAGATACATATATTGTTGTTGAGGAACCAAAATTGAGGCAAAAACAATTAAAGTCAAGTATTTAAAACAAGACAGCTAAGTAGAAAATTGATTCATTAATCGGATAAAATTATGTGGGCAGGGCTGAGATATCTAGATATCTAAAAATATTCGACGGAATATCAAAATTGTTTCTGCTTCGAACTGTATTGGGAAAAGCAATAATGCAGCTGGCTGGATGACAACAAAGCAATAATATAAGTCCAGTCCACATCATTGCAAAGCGACTGTCCCTGCATGGAGCAAACTGAGATCCTCGCCCGCATACAGCCAAAGCATGTCCATTTTCAAGGCGCGGTATGGACGACACAAAAATGTGACGTGTTTTCGGGAATTAAGAACAAAAGATTGTTATCCCCCCCTGTATCTTTCAGTGTAAAAGAGTTCGATGATGCGCTGGCCCAGGATGTGGTTGACCTAAAGGAGCTGCGCAGACTGACGTTTAATGGTGGGATATCACACTTCTGATAGGCGTAGTAATTCATGGACATGAATCCAATCCAATCCACAGGTGTGCCCGATGTATAAAGCTTCCGTGCACTCAGCTGGAAACTGCTGTTGGGCTACTTGGGACCAAGACGCAGCAGTTGGACGACCACGCTGGCCCAGAAGCGAGCCCTGAACCAGCAGTTCATTGAGGAATTGGTACTCCCCCCGGGACACAGCTGCAATGGAGCTGGAGAAGGCGACGGGGACGGGGACGTCGCTGTTGATTCAAGGGGCGTTGGCCTACAAGATCATCCGCTTAGCGAGGGGCCAGAAAGCGCCTGGAACACATTCTTCAATGACAACAAATTTCTGCTGCAGATCGGCAAAGATGTGAGGCGCCTGTGTCCCGACATCTCGTTCTTTCAGCAGCCCACAGAGTATCCCTGTGACATTGTGGTGCACAGTAAAGGCGAGCACGGGCGCCGGCTTCACAAACGGGTAGTGCCCACGGTGCTCAGCTCGGCGAACGTCCTGGCCTGGGTTACGTACAGGGCAAGAATGAGATTGTCGGACCCATCTACTATGTGATGGCCTCGGATCCGGATCTCTCGTACCGCGCCCACGCGGAGGCAGACTGTTTCTTCTGCTTCACGGCTCTAATGAGCGAGATACGCGACTTCTTCATCAAGACTCTGGACGATGCGGAGGGTGGTATAAAGTTCATGATGGGCCTGCTATCTAACATGCTGAAGACTAAAGATATAGCATCTGAAAAGCCAAGAGCTGCCTCCGCAGTACTACAGCTTCAGGTGGCTCACCCTCCTGCTCTCGCAGGAATTTCCACTGCCCGATGTGCTGCGAATTTGGGATTAGGTATTCTCGGACGAGCAGCGCTTTAATTTTCTCATCAAAATCTGCTGAACCATGATATTGTAAGCATGCGCTGACTTTGAACTGATTCATTTGCATTTACTGATGTATTTACTGATTTATAGAATCCAAAGGGAAGCAATTTTAGAGAACGACTTTGCCTCGAATGTGAAGCTGCTGCAAAACTATCCACCCATTGACATAAACGTTGTGATTACTCATGCAGTCTCCCTGGCGTAGCACTCACTTTTAGGGATACCACAGATATTACATATAATACCCGATTCCGGGTAGAGTCTGACAAAGCAATAATCCACAGTGTCTAGTTATCATGTTCAATAGTTGGAAGCCCAGGACCCAACAAAAGATCGAACACTAGCGCTGTTTCTCTGTTTTATACGTTACAATTTCATAATAAACGAATGTGCCGCATGTGTTTGTGTGGAGATTAAAAATGCGAAAACATATGTAAAATTGAGTGATCATAGCTCAAGTGTAATTTTGTGTTCGTGTGTGGCATCGTCAAAAAACACAGTAAAAAATATATATAACATTGGATTCCCGTTAGAGATTGATTACTTGGCCAAACGTGGGGCCGTATCCTTGCAAATCGTCTGAGCAATAAACTCCACCAGTGTTCGGGTCGGGCGGCCGGCCATTCCCTTGCGCAGATACTCGTATTCGAAGCCCTTTGTCACCATAACATTTGTGGCATCCTTTGAGGGAGAAAGTCCATAAGATCTGCGCCCCAACAAAGCGCCCCACAATACTCACAATATACATCCACTGGCCACAGGGCACAAACTCACGGAGAAAGGCAGCGGCCTTGCAGGGACGTCCACCTCGGTCAATGCCATAGTTCTGCACATCGCTGCGTCCCGGTATGCATGCTGGCGTGCTTGATCTGCTGCCACAGGATCTCCGAGTTGGTAAAGACCCCCGCAGCCGACTCATCCAATGCACTTGGGACAGAAGTTTTGCGCATACAGCAGGGCGTCTGCCAGGACCAGTACATCCTCGTGATCGGTGCACTGGATCTCGATGGTCTTGCCGTTCATGGACTTGACCATGTCCCCAGTACGGACCGAATTGCAGCCCACTACGTTTTCACAAAGAGGTATCAGGCCGCGAATGTTGACCTAAGAACAGCATTATTATTCAAGGAGATATCATTTCTGTCCTGAGTACTTACCGGTAAACGCAGGCCAGCCACAGCTCGACAACAGGCCACCACAACGGCGGCCCCGGTCATGTCGCCACGCATATGGAAGAGCTCATGTTTCTCTTTCAGGCACAATCCTCCAGCATCGTAAGTCACGCCTTGGCCCACCAGCACAATGGGGCGCTCCTCGGCACAGGTGCCGTAGTAACTCAGCTCCAGGAAGATGGGTGGCTCGCACGAGGCCTTGCCCACAGCCAGGAAGGCGTGCATTGACTGGCTCTCGGCCCAGCCCTCGACCTTGACCTCCACATTGACACCGGATTTGCACAGCACCTCGACGACATTCTGCGCAAAAGCTGTGGGTGTGAGGAGGTTGGAGGGCATCTCCTGCAGCTGTCTCGTCAGGTTCTGGGCGGCTGCCTTCTGCAGACCAATGCGCCATCCTTCGAGGTCGCAGACCTCGTCTTTTCTTGCGTATAAGTCCAGCGACGGCACTGGAATCCTGTTCTGTGGGTTACGCAGCTCCTGGTAGAGCCAGATGCCCAATGCGGCCCCCCGGACATGCGGAGGACCTCTAGCAATCGGCCGGCAGTCTTCTGGACATTGTACCGCCAACCGGCCGCGGTGAGGACGCCAGCATCATTGCGGTCCGTTTCGTCGGCGAACACGCCGACCACAAGTCCGCGGGATGGAGGATCCGCACACATGTCCATCTGCTGGAGCTGCAACATCTGGTTTACCGCCTGCGAGGCGGAGCGGCGCTGGATAGCCTGGGGACGTGGTCGCAGGCGCTGCGGGAAGGCCTAGGAGACCAGCCGACGTACAACGCCATGTACCAAATATCAGAATATACGTATTTCGTGTTCAATTTCTAGCAATAGAGAATGCCAAATTGAGGCGATGAATGTACTCCATGAGAAAGTGACACTCACTTCAAGGGCTATTTGGTCGGTACATTCACTAAATTCGAAAGGATCAGAATCTAAAAACGAGTGGACATCGGCCCTTCACTCACTACTGTTTTGGTTTGGCTGTCCTCGGAGGAGTAAACATGTCGAGTATGTATATCTTTGACAAATGGGGCTAACAAATCATGAACTCTTGAAGGGCCATGGTACTCAAATAGATGTGGCTCTGGATGAGTGTAACTTCCAGAAGGAAGCCTTTTCGTCCTATGAGCGTCCTTGATGAGCACCTAGATATCAGAGACCATGAAAGCTAGAGCAACCAAATTGTATATCCAGACACCTGGACCCGTCCGCTCCCACAAAGACCAAAAATCTGTGGAATTCACAATTAACGCAGAATCGTAGAGAACGCCATATTTACTAGACTGTCAAATGTGGATGAGATCGGATCGTTATTATAACCATAACGACCAAATCGCCTTCCACGCGCTTACTCATTCTCTCTCGATCTCTCTATCCATCTCACACACTCTTTCTCGTGCAGTGTGTTCGCTCTGGCGGAGGGAAGCGAGACAGAACGGCGGGCTTGTGTGTAAGAAAGAGAGAGAGGGAGAAAAGTTCCACTCTCCTATCTCATGACAAGTGCGAGCATAATTCAGAGTTCATTTCGTTCCCGCTCGTTAAAGAATCTTTTTTGTATAAGTGGGTGATAAAAAAGAAAGGTTTTTAAAATCAAAACGTTAGAGAATACAATTTATTTGGCATACGCCTAACTTTTAAAATATTTCAGCGAAAAATAAGTTTAATTTTACAATAAGGCATCGCCGTTACAAAGTGCCGTGACTAAATGATTCCTTTAAAGTTTCGATACTGCATCATTAATTCCTGAAAATTTAGAATAGTTTTTCTAAAATAAATAGACCGAAAAACTTGGGTGACTGCAAATTTGTATTTTACGACGACGAAAAAAAAGGAGTGCGTGCGTTCGTTTTCATAGATTTTTCTCGACTTCTCTTCATATATTCAAACAATTTCTTCTGCGCCTATCTTACCTACGGTTGCAAAGTGGGGCGAATTCGCCAAGAGCGAGAGAGCGAGCTTATATTGCGCTCCCGCTTTGCCCTAGCCTAACTTACACTAGACTTCATAAAATACGATCCTAATAACAATTATTATACGCCAAATGGCGCTACACCGGCCCCGTTGAAGGCCTGGAAGGCTTCAAACCAGTGGCAGAAGAGCCAACTTGTGGATTGGCCTCCTGAACGTGGCTCCGCTGCTCGTCCTTAGGTCGACCACTCTGACCCTTCCGTCCTGCCCGGCGGTTGTAACGACCACCCTTCCGAGGAGCCCCTGTTGAGGGGGCAGGTTGTCCTCGGCGACGATTACGAGGTCGCCTTCCTTGATGTTTGGTTCCTCCTGGTGCCACTTGAATCTTATTTGCAATCCCAGCACATACTCCCGGGACCATCGCTGCCAGAACATTTGCCTGGCTGACGAGACAAGCCGCCATCGCTTTAAGCAGCTCAGACCCTCCTGGTCCGGGGTCCTGGGTGCTGGGGGTGCGATGAGCGGCCCGCCTGTCAGCAGGTGCCCGGGAGTCAGCATGTCTCCGTCGCTTGGGTCTGAGCTTAGGGGTCCTAGCGGGCGCGAGTTGAGTACCGCCTCGATCCCGACCAGCACGGTCTCCAGCTCCTCTGCGGTGAGGAGAGCGCTTCCGACTGCCCGTAGGAGTAGGCCCTTGGCAGACTTCACACCGGCCTGCCAAAGTCCGCCCATGTGCGGTGCTCGAGGCGGTATGAAGGCAATCTCGCACCCGCTTCTTGACGCAAATTCGCGTATCGCGTCCGCTTCCGCCTCTATCTTCCTCCGCAGTTCGCTGAAGTGGCGACTTGCTCCGACGAAATTTGTCGCGTTGTCGCAGTTCACGCGTTGCGGACATCCTCGACGACCGACGAACCTTTGGAATGCCAACAAGAAGGAATTAGTCGTCAAATCGGAGACAATTTCTAAATGAACCGCCTTGGACGCAAAACAGACAAATAACGCTATGTAGGACTTATAAGGGGGCCTTCCACGAATTTTCAGAGTCGTATAGACTGGGCCACAAAAATCAACGCCACATACTGAAAATGGGCGGAGAGCACGGAGCCGGTCTGCGGGTAAGTTGCCCATCATTTGGGTCTGGAGTAGCGGCTTGCATTTAAAGCAACGAATACATGACCTAACTGTCGCCCTGCAGACCGCCTGAGCATTCACTATCCAAATGCGTTGTCTAAGGATACTCACGAGTGCTCGTGGGCCGGCATGAAAACTCGTTTGATGCAGATAGCGAACGTATGTCTGCACAAACTGCGAGCGTTTTGTCAATAAAAAGGGAAACTTGGCATTATATGACATAGGAGCGTTAACTAGTCGCCTTCCAACTCGCAACAACGAAAAAGAGCACCATGTCCCAGCCTCTTCATGGATGAAGGGATTCAAGCGCTGAAGACTGGGGCCTAACTTGGTGCCTTTACGAACCCTTTCAATATCTTCTTGAGACTCATTTTTCTGTGTTATTTCGACTATTTTTAGAAACGCCTCGTCGTATTCTACGGATGACGGAATTTTTCCAAAGTTGAGACTTTTGTCTTTGCATTTTCGGATGAAGCGGAACACGAAAACGAACACTCTTAGCAGTTTGAGGTGTGACGAGTATCCCTCGATTACATCCACTAAATAATTTGACTTGGCCGCGCCGGTCAGTGTGACCGATTTCTTCCGACTTTCCATCTGTATCTCTTCTTCGGAAAGCTCGAAGTGTGGATTTCTGGGCCAGCTCTCTTCTTCAAACTTTAAGAACTCTGGTCCACCAAACCAGATCGACTGCACGATTTCCTCTACGTCACAAACTCTCGAAACTATGTCTGCTGGGTTCTGTTTTGTTGGCACATGCCGCCACGTAGCTTCACTTGACCACTCTTGAATCTCCGCTACTCGGTTCGCAACGAATGTTGACAACGACGAAGGGTGGGATCTGATCCAATGAAGAGTAACTTCTGAATCTGACCAGAATATCACGTTCTCAATTGGAACCTTGAGCAGTGATTTGATTCGGTGACAAAGGTCTGCTAGAAGGTGAGCGGCACATAACTCAAGCCTTGGGAGCGTTTTCGTCTTGGGTGGCGCTACTTTCGACTTTGCAGTCAACAAGGAGACCTCGAAACCTTCTGCAGTCTTTCTACGGATATAGACGCAGGCTCCATAAGCTCTCATGGATGCGTCGGCAAAGGCATGTACTTGAATCGGTGACATGAGATCAGTATGCACAAATCGAGGTATGGTAATCTTCTCCAACTGACCCAAGGATTCTTTTAATAAGTTCCATGCTGTTTCCAAGTTCATTGGAATTGACTCATCCCAACCTAGCTTGTTAAGCCAAAGCTCCTGCAGTAGGATCTTTCCCTTAATTACTAAAGGACTTAACAAGCCAAGGGGGTCAAACAGCTTTGATGTCACCGATAATATGTTCCGTTTTGTCGCTCGGAGACCCATAACTGACGTGTCAATTCGGAACTTAAAGACGTCTTCGTGTGGCAGCCACGATATTCCTAACGCCTTAGTTGACTCTGAGTCCGAGATCGTTATTGGTTTAACTGTGCTCTCGGATGCGGTGACCTCAGGTGAGTTCGAAAACCATTTAGTCAATTCAAACCCAGCGGTTTGAAGAACCTGAGCCAGATCAGACTTAATTGTCTTTAACTCCTCTACGCAACCAGCACCAGTCAACATGTCATCGACATAGAAGTCGGAGTCAATAACTTCAGCAGCTTTAGGGAATGAGAGTTTTGCAGACTCACTCAACCTCTTCAAACACCGAATAGCCAAAAATGGGGCTGGTCCAGTCCCATATGTTACGGTGTTGAGCTGGTATATTCTCAAGGACTCAGATGGGTCTCTTCTCACACTATGAGCTGGAATTGTCTATCCGCATCAGCGACCCAGACTTGGCGATACATCTTCTTAACATCGGCTGTCAAGGCGTACCTGTGTAGTCTGAATCGGAGCAATGTCGAATACAGCTCATCCTTTATCGTAGGACCGACCATCAATATGTCGTTCAAGGCCACCTGAGAGGACGTTTTACAAGACGCATCGAAAACGACGCGGAGCTTGGTCGACGTGCTTTGGGGCCTCAACACACACTGATGTGGAATGAAATAATGTGGAGTTTTCGGGATTGTGTTGTCTGTGGTAGACATGTGACCCAAGGAGAGGTACTCTTCCATGAACTCCAAGTACATTTTCTGTAACTCGGGGTCACGAGACAATCTTTTTTCAAGCGATAAAAACCGCCGTTTAGGCGTAGGAGTTGCCTAAGATACTTGGATCTGATTTGAACGGCAGTCTTACTTCAAACCGACGTGAAGGCACGACCTGAATAGTCCTTCTATAATGCTTTTCACATAACTTGTGTTCAGGAGATAAAGACTTTTTAGAAGACGGCAATTCTTCCAGTGACCAAAACTTTTGTCATGTGTTTTCGATGTGTATCAGTGACTCTTCTCGACAACTCAAACAATTGCTCGCTTCTTGGGTGGCAGTCACCTTTGGAGTGTATCTGCCGGACACAATCCAGCCGAGAAGCGTTTTCTGCAGAGTTGGATAGTCAGGACCTTGTCGAATCTGACCAACAGATAAAAGTTCGAAAAATGTTTCTGCACCTATCAACATATCTATCTTCTGTGGCTTGAAGAAATATGGGTCTGCACGTGGTAAGTTCTTCGGGATTTTCCAGTCACTCACGTTAAGTGTTTGATCAGGGTGATACCCCGAAATGG